AGGTTATACGCTACAAAGTTAGAAAATATTTCTAAAATATATAATAGAGCTAGATATTAAGTACTAGAAAAAGGTATATTTGGTTCGCTATATTCTAAATAAGGTTGTTAAGTCCGAACTAAATTCTTATTAAATAGAAGTCGACTAAGAAAGTAAGATAATAAAGATCTACCCTCTTATATATATATTACCCCTTCGTACTGAATTCGAGATTGAAATATTTAGAAGGTAGTATTTCGAGGAAGAATAGGATAAAGTATATATACGGTATAATAATAATATTTTAAATTATTTAGTACTTATATTTATTAATAGATTCGGTATTTACTATAATATTTACCGATCGGTTATAAGGGTATATTAATTACCTACCAACTTATTTTTCAATACTCGTACTAAAAATACTAATATTTTCCCTATTATTTCAAATCTATATACGTTTTACTTCGACAACGTCGTTAAAACTATTAGTTATATAATACCCTTAGACCGTAGTATTATAATAGAAGTATAGGGAAGATTAATATTAGTATCGATTTTTATACTATACTATATAAGTAATATACTTTAATAGAATTAAAATACCGGTATTATTAGTATAAGTAGCTATAAATTCTAACGATTTTACTTTATTAGGCCCGAATATATTATTAATAAAAAAGATGTGCTTATAAATAGCCGGGAGATTAACCGGTATTATTACTAATATATATAAATATAATACGAAGTGTATATTAATATTTAGCGAATAGGTAATAAAATAGTATACTATACGTAATAGGGTATTAGTAGATTCCGGCCCACATTATTCGATTTAATACCTATACTTAATATTATTATAATACGCCTACCTAACCCGGCACATTCAGAATATAAAGGTATATAAAAATAGAAGTATATTAATAGAAGTAATATTTTAAATATATACTAATTTTTTACAAATATTACCGCAACCACCTACGAAATACTATTAAATATATTTTTAACCCCCAAAGTAAAAATCGAGTATAGCCGGGTATTAAAAAAGAGAAACTCTATTCGCACGGGGATAAAACTCTATTCGCACAGGGGGAAAAAGTGAAACTTGGCGATGTCTTTTTATACCTTAAAAATTCCAGTAGAGGGTAGTAAGGTAAATTATATTTTTTCTTATTTTTTGCTCTATTTACTATAGCTTTCTTAAGAGCTGTAGGTGTTTGGTAGGTTGAGAAAATCCAGGAGAAATAAAGTTAATTATTAAAAATAATAAAAATGATTTTTAATGTAAGAATCTAGAAAAGTAAGATCTAGGTTATATCTTGGGCTATGAAACTGGAATTTAAACCCAAAAATTAGCAAAAATTTAACGAGTAATTTGGTACTACTCTCGGCCTCATATAGTAAGGTCTGACTAAGTTATACTTAGAAAAGCAAAAGTGGATCCCCGTGCGAATAGAGCTTTATCCCCGTACGAATAGAGGTTCTCTTAAAAAAATTGGCTATTTCCCCCGGGATATAGTACCTTACCTTCGCCTTTATCGTATATTCTAAGCTATAATCTCACGTACTATACCTAATAGTCAATTATTACGCCACCCTTATTCGAAGTATAACTATATAAAGATCATATTAATCCATACGCCTAAAAGGTATAGAAGGATATTTATTAGCTATATTGCTAAGACGAGGACAATGAAAATAAAGATAATAAAGATATTATAGTAAATAATAAATTGGTTGGCTGTTTTATTCGGGCACTAACTATAATAATTATTAATAATTCGATTTTTATAAATACCCGAAATACTAAGGAGGTATATAATAATATTAATATTAAGGCCAAATATAGTAGATAGTAGTATAAAAAGCTATACTAGGCGGAATTAGCAGCTATAGCTAATAACCCCTAGGTATAAAAGGTATTTTAAAATTATATTTATATAAACTCTAAACGTTTATAAGTATTATTATTTCAATTATCTATAATTAATAGTCTAGAAGAAGATATACAAATAGCTGAGGATAGCGAAGATAAAAAAAATAGTATAATTATTATAGTACTACTATTAAACTTCCTAAAGCGGGCAAAAGAGTATATTTGTAAGGCTCTTCAGCCAAATATATATTTAAGGGTATATTACAACTGTATTTATAACAAGTACGGCCCTTTTAAATTATTAAATATAATAACAGAAGAAAAATATTATAAGTAAATTACTTTTAAAAATTTTTTTAATACCCGTAATCTAGTAAATATACTACCGGTCCGACTTATACGTAATATATATAAGTATAAGAATTTAGTATACAAAACCCGAATTTATAATTAGGATAATAATAGTTACGGAATTAAAGCTAATAATAATAAAATAAATAATTTAAGGCTACAACCTAGATTACTAATAGTAAAGACGTCGAAAAATAGATCCTTGAATAAGAGCGTATTATTTATACTATTCGATTTACTTTACTTAATTCGTTTACTATTATTAACTCCGATCTAATTGAATAAATCTAGGATATAGTTAAGGAAGCACTTAATTTATTTAATAACTTACTCTACTAATAAAATAAATAATATATAGGATTAACTATATAAGAAGAATAGGAATTTAATATCCTAACTACCGGTAATTATATATATATCCGGCTATTTATAATTAGAAAGTTCGAAGTTATAATAATACGCAAAATTCAATACCCTGTTACTAGTCTTAATTAGAATTTGCCCGTTTTGTCTCGTATAATAATTAATAATTTCTATTATACCTTATTACGGGCGTATAAACTAAACTATAATATTAGGATTTTAAAATTCGTTCCTAGTACTTTATAGTATAGTAAGAAGCTATCCTTTTTAAATAGGTATATATATACTATAATTCGTACGCCCCGATATATATTCCCAATCCCTCCCTACGAACACCCTTATTCAGCTAATACTATTATATACCGAACCCCTTTAATATACGGAAATTAATTCTTAAAGTATCTTCCTTATTTTTATTATATTCTATACAATAATACTATATAATAGTAATATATTTATAAGCTAATTATAATATACTTATACGGTTAGTATTATTAATTATATAAAATCGATAATAATACTTCTAAATCCCCTTTAAATCCCCCTAAATTCCCCTAAATACGCTAAAATCTACTAGATACTATTAAAATTAATAAATCCCGCTGTCTTTTTATTATACAATTCGTACTCTATATATAATTTAGTACTAAAATTGGAAATTATATTAACTATAACTATTTAGGGGGTATTATAATACCCTTAAGTACTATACTTTCTCTATTAATAACTATATTAAGTATTATAATAGTGCTACTATAGGCCGTATTGACTATATTTTCGTCTATAAGTAGAAGTAGTATAATAAACGTTTTATATTCTTTATATTAACTAAAATAATAATTATAAATAGGATAGTCGCGAGCCTTAGGCTTCTATTAATTAAAGAAACCGAAGAGATATTAATTATTAATTTACTAGTAGTACTAATTAATAAAAAGGTTTATAGCATAAATATTTCGAAGATTTATAAACGATAGACTATTTATTATTAATTAAAATAGGTATTAGTAATTTAGAATATTATTTAGCTATAAATACTTTTTTAATAGTAAGTATTAGAATAAATACTTTAAATACTTTACTAATTACTATACAAAATATATCAATTTATCTATAGTAATTAGAATTTTATATAATATATCGAAGTATTTTCAGTAATCGTCTAGTCTAATATCGTATATACTACCGTATAAAAAATTATATAAAGGTTTATTGCAATTTCCATCGTACCTAATCCTTTAAACTACTAGTATAACGCTTTATTTCTTTCCGTATCCCCTATCCTTAATTAATTAATAATATATTTACTTACTAAATTATTTAATTATCTAAATTAATTAACTATAACCGAATAGAACTTTTCTAACGTATTATATTTATTGTATCGCATTATATTTATAGTATATATATTTAATTATATTGTATTACTACTCATAGTAAATTCAATTACGTTTATTGTATTCCTATACTATACTATACTATACTATACTATATATAATTGCTATTAATACCAGTGCGTAGCACTAACTATTAGAAAGCGGTATAATATAGTATTGGGTCGGGGTTAGGGCAATAGTATAGTAGACCGTATACCCGGTATAGAGTTCGATATAGGTACTAGGTATAAATATAGCGCTGGGTTAGATTGTACGTAGGGTAGGTAGTAGGTAGGTAGTTCCGTAGATAAATATATATATATATATTAATTGCAACTTCCTAATATTTTCTTTCTATACCCGTAATAGACCTATATATAAATAATACGGATTCTTTTTTCCTAATAGGGATTGATTTTCTGGCCTATAATAGTCTAGGATAGATCTAACCTCCTAGGAAGGTATAGACCCCTCTACTATAGTATATAAACTACCGTTAAGACCTACTTACCGTAGTAGGACGGTAGACTCCTAATAATAGTAGTATCCAATTTACCGTAGAGTGACGGTCAATTTATTGCATATCGGTCGAGGGGGTTCGCAGCTAAGTATAGCAAAAATCCGGAATATAAATTTAATTAAGGAAATAATTACTAATATTTTAAAGGGTAATAATTAGTAATATAAAGGAAGTTTCCCCCTACTCCTCTATAAATTCATTTACAATTTAGCTAGCGCTTACTTATTAGAGAAATTTTAAGAAGCCGTAATTCTCGCTAAAGTAAATCACCTTACTAGAAACTTCAATGAAAATACTCTACTTTATAAAGAAATAACCCAGCATATATACTTAATTAAAATCTTTAATAAAATATAAAGAAGTTCTTAATAAGGCTAACCGTCTAATTAAAATAAAGGACAAAATTATTACTATCTTAAAAAAGTCGGAGGAATAATAATATATTAACGAGGTAGCAATTTTCCTCCCGTTATTAATTGAGGAAATTCCGCCTAACCGTTTCTACAACTATAAAATTAAATTCTAGCCGAGAGCGACTCCTCCTAATGCGCGATTATATTGTATATCCCCGATCGAAGTTATTATTATTAAAAAGTCGATCAATAAGAATTCAAGGAAGAATTTTATCCGCTTATTGCAATCTACAGCCACATCCCCTATCCTTTTAGTAAAAAAGCCCAGCGGCGGCGTTTGTATTTATATGGATTACTATAATATTAATAACGTAATATTAAAATCGTATTACCCGCTACTATTAATTAAAGAGACTCTTAATACTATTTATTATATAAAGATTTTTACTAAATTTAATATAATTACTATATTTAATAAGATCCATATAAAAGAAAGATATAAATAGTTTACTACTTTTATTACCTATTTACAATCTCTATAAATCTATCGTCTATTTATTCGGCCTCTAAAGCACTCTAAGAACCTTCTAGAACTATATTAATAATATTCTATATAGTATCTTCAATATATATACAATAATATATTTCGATAATATCCTAATCTATTTGAATAACGAAAAAAACTATAAAAGCTACTTTAGAGAAGTCCTACAACGGATAATTCGAATAGAGCTATAAATTAATATCAATAAATATAAATTCTACATTACAAAAATAAAACATCTTAGTCTAATTATTACCCTAAGAGGACTTAAGATGAATCCTAATAAAGTATCCGCTATTAAGACTTAGGAAGCTCCAAAAACCAAGAGGGCGTTATAGCGTTTCCTAGGTTTTACCAATTTCTACCGACGATTTATTAAGCATTTCTCGATTATCGCTAGTCCGTTATACGAATTAATAAAGAAATCAGTAGAATAGCAATAGACCGACCGCTATTAGAAGTCTTTTAAAACTCTCTGTCACGGGGCGCCAGCAAGCACTAAGGTAAGACTTTGATTGTTGTGCGAGGAACAGGAAGAGAATCCTGTGCGCGTACGAGAACTATGTAAAGTACGCTGTGGATCCGGGTACACACGGACCACAGCACGTGTGCACGTGACTGCTGTACTGCACTCAGGCAGCTGCACAGCTGACTGCACTAATGCAGTGCAGCACCCTCTATCTATTGACAGGAACATGGCAGTAATGCCTGTGACACTCTCAAAAAGGCTTTCAATAGTAGTCCAATACTCCGGATCTATAACTAATTAAAGTAGACCATTATTAAAACAAATACTTCGAATTAGACTTATAATAGTACTCTATCCTAATACGACGAAGAAGGCGTCTTATACCCGGTCGCCTATTTCAACCAACAGTACTCTTCGGCTGAATATAATTATAATATTTATAATAAAGAATTGCTAGCTATCGTCAAAGCTCTCAAAGAATAGCGCCCCGAATTGGAAGGAGCATAAGAACCTTTCAAGGTTCTCACCAACTACAAAAGTCTAAAGACGTTCACAATTAATAAACAATTCACCCCCCGCTATATATAATAGTCCCAATTCCTCTCCTGTTTTAATTTTACAATTAAATACCGTCCGGGATCCTTATAAGTACGCCCTAACGCACTAAATAAGAAACTAAAAAACTTACTCAAAGACAAAGCCGACGAACGGTTAATAGCTAAGAATAGAGTCTTATTTAATTATAATATCTTCGTGAATAAAACTTTCATTCTAAAAGATAGAAACGAAAAGGTTAATATTAGTACCAAATATATTTGCAAATTAGAAACTTTAAACGAGAGGTCGACGGTCAATCTAATAGTAATAATATTCTTTTTCCCTAACTATGTAACTATAGCGCCTTATTGGTATAGGGTCCTTCTCTAATTCTCTAGAGGGGAAAACTGTACAGCGTTAAACGCCGCCGGATGAAAACTCCCAACTTTATCTCGGTTGTAACTTACTTACACTATTCCTACTTTACTTATAGTTATAATAATTCTTACTTATTACTATAGCAAATTAATTTCGTTTCTCCCTTTACTATATTATCCTAATATTAAAATAATAAGAATAATAGGAATATAATTAGGAATATCGCCTTCCTCCGCCTTCCTTCCACTTCTCTATTCTATTTTCCTATCTATATTCCTACCCCTCCGCTTCGTTATTCTTATTTATATTTACCTCCGCCCTATCCCTTTATTTTTTAACCTTTAGTTCTACCCCTATTCGTAATAGTATAAAAACCCTCCCCTCTATTTATATAATCTTCCCTATAATATTCCTTCTTAATTCCCTTTTACTTTCTTTCTTCTTTATAATAATATTATCCAAAATAACTTCCTCCGGTTATAACCGTCCTAACCTAATTAATTTTATTTCTAATTTTAAAATCTCCTCCTCCGAAATGTCTCCGGGCTCGATAGCTTCTCTTAGCTTTATAACTCCGGTATATTTAGAACTTATAATATTTTTCTATATCCTTTATAGTAATTCGGATTTCGTAACCCTTCCGAATTAATATAACCGTCCCTCCTATTATCCCTAATCTTTATAATAATTTGATTGATATTATTTATAAAATACCTAACCTTTACTATACTTTAAACTTTACTATAATCCTAAAAATTAATTAGAGATTTACTATTCCTAATAATTTTTGTAAAATTATTACTAATAAAACTTACTTTGTTTTATCTTCTAGTAGGTCTAATATTTTCCCTTTCTCTTTATCCTCCTTTCCTAATTAATTTCCGTTTCTAACTACTAACTTTTAAAATATAACCTATATTTTTACTAACTAATAAATATATATTAAATATTCCTACTAGCCTCTATAATATCTATAACGCTATTTAATCGGTAACTGTTACTATAATATTAAATAGCCTAACTAAATATTACTAAAACTTAGACGCTTTCGTCCGCACTACTAATTATTTTACTAAACGTATATACGAACGTTTAATATATAATAATCTCCCTAATAATTCTACTATTTTTCTTTATACTCTATACTATTATACTATTATTTTCTAATAGAAGGGCTATTATAAACTATTTATAAAATATCCTTCACGTACAGCGTATAGTATCCCTTCCGCTAGAAGATAGTAGCATCGTAGTACGGAGCGCGGAGAAGGCTAATAATATTATTCGGGAGACCGTTTTATACTAAACGACTATATATATATTTAATAAACTATTAAATAATATAAACGAAGGTATTTAATTTCTAATGATATCCAGCCAGGCCATTTAATATTATAGTAATAGCTACGGACTAAATAATATTACGGGTATTATAAAGACTAATAGGAATATTTAATATATATTTACCGGTAATATAAATATAAATTATAGTTTAAAAGTCGGTAGTTAGGAATAAAATATTAATTAAAAAAGAAGGGGGAAAAAAAGAAAGATATAAAATTTATAGGAAGCCGAAACGAAGTAGGTTTTATTAATAATAATTTTATAAAAGGTATTAGAATTAATAAATTTTTTATTAGATTTTAGGACTATAGTAAAATTTAAAGTATAATAGAGGTAAAGGATTTTACGGATAGTATTATATAAATTAATATAAAGATTAAGAATAATAGAAGGGATAAATATACCGGTTTTAAAGGATTTAAAAAATGAAATTACTATAAAAAATAGAAAAAAATATTATAGGCTCTAAATAAGCCGGGGCTATAAAATTAAAAAAAGCTATAGAGCCCGGAAACATTTCTAGGGAGGAGACTTTAAAGTCGGAAATAAAATTAATTAGATTAGGATAATTATAATTAGAGGAAGCTATTTTAGATAATATTATTATAGGGAAGAAAGAAAGTAGGAAGGAATTAGGAAGAGATACTATAGGGAGGATTATATAAATAGAGGAGAAGGCCCTTATACTATTAAAAATAGGGGTAGAACTAAGGGTTAGGAAATAAAAGGACGGAGTAAAAGTAAATATAAATAAGAATAATAAAGTAGAAGGGTAGGAATATAAATAGGAAAATAGGATAGAAAAGCGGAGGGAAGGTAGAGGAAAAGATAATAAAAATTGAAACGGAGGAGTAGCGAAGGAAAGCGATATCCCTAACCATATTTCTATTATTTTTATTATTCTAAATATTAGAATAATATAATAAAGGAAAACACGAAATTAATTCGCTATAGTAGTAGGTAAGAATTATTATAATTATAAGTAAAGTAGGAGTAATATAAGTAAATTACGGCTAAAATAAAGCTAGGGGTTTTTATCCGGCGGCGTTTAACGCTGTACGGTTTTCCCCTTTAGAGAATTAGAGAAGAACCCTATACTAATAAAGCGCTATAGTTATATAGTAAGGGTAAAAGAATATTATTAAATTATTTATAAAGGATGCTCTCTATTATTATACTCCTTCTAATTTTAATAGTAATGTAATAAACCTAATCCGTATTGCTTCTAATTTTAATAATAGTATAATTACTCCTATACGTATTATATTTAATAGTAATAGTACTATTACTCTTACCTATATAATTTCCGGCTCTAAAAGTAATAGTATTGCCCTTAATAGCCCTATAACCCTTATTACCCCCGGCCGCCCTATTGTAAATAAAAATTAGGTTTAATAGTACTATAAAGTTACTACGAACTAAATTCGTATAATAACGCTATTCGAAGAGTCTTTTAAACATAATTAGGCATTAATTAAATAATGCTTTAATTTTTACTATAATTATAATATAAATAGTACTTATAATTAATATAATCGTTTCCTCCCCATCCTTCGTCCTTTTATTTTAATATTATTAATAACTTATTTTCGTTTTAGGAGTATTTTACAATTTCTTTATACTACTCTTCTTATAATTCGATAATTAAATAATATTCCTTTAACCTTCCCAACCTTAACGCTTATAATAGAATTCTCTTAATTTTAATTCTATTATTTGAGTAATTCCAAAACTCTTCTTTCGTTAATAGTTAATTCTTAATATTTAATTGGAAAAAGCCTTCCGTATTAAGGTAATTTAGATTAAAATATAGGCGAAGGTATTTTTTTTTAATATATAAGCGTAAATAGGTATTTAAACGCTAAATACCTTTCTTTATGAAAGAAAGGCCTAGAATCCTATAACTTCTATTCTAATTTAGATTAAGAGGGAATTGTTTGCTTTAATTAGCGGGTATAATTCCTTATTATCTTCTCCTAACATTCGAATTCTTCTCTTATTCTTTTCCCTCTTTGTACTAATTATATATTATTAAATAATTTAATTACTAAATTTAAGGGTAAAGTCGGTAATACTAAATTCGTACTATCGATTTAATTTAATTACTACTATTATTAATTAATAATTATAGGATAATACTTATTTACTATTTATTATATCCTCTAACTATTTCTCTTTATTAATAGTTATAGGTTCTAAGATTTATAATAATAATAATAAGGACCCTAACTCCGAGGGGGGACCGGCCGCAATTGCTAATAATCTTTCTATTAGTATTTATACTTTAATTTACCTAATTTTAACTATACTACTATCTAATTTATTAGCGGGTAATTATCCTCTAATTTATTGTATTCGAATATAATTAATTACTTGAATTACTATTCTTCGAATAAATTACATTTAATCTATACGAACGAACCTTTCTTCGAAGGTTTAAACTCTTTTATTTAAATAGAAGTCGAATAATAAATAGAAAATTTCTATTTTTAAATTCTATATTAGTATAACTTCATACGCCCTAATAATAATATTCAAATATTTAATTTAATATCTCACTAGCCCGATTATAATCCTTCGTAATTTTTTATAAATTTCAATTAGTTAGTAGAATATTAAGGCTATATATATAATAGTATTACAAATATATTTAATATATATCTCCCTTACTCAAATAAAGGAATAACCCTAAATTTTCGTTATTAACTTTATATATATATTCGTTTAAATCTTTATCTTTTATTTTATACTTTCGTATAAGCCTAATAATTAAATTTATAATCAAACTAAACCCCTAAGAATTTTATTAATTCTATTAATTAAAATACTACGTCCCCGAATTAGAGAATTTCCATCCTTAGTACCTTTATCTATATAAAATATATTAGTTCCATCTTATTCGCTTTAAATTCTATACTTCTCGCTTTAGCCTATTCTAAATATATTTACTATATTGCCTATAAAGTCCGGTAATTTTTTTTAATAGTATAAATTATTATAATAATATTAATATTATTTATTAAGCTAATTATAATTGTATTTAAGATTATTATTAATTTTTATTATAATAAAGTAATAAAGAGAATGAAAAGGATAGGTAAGAGGGGGGAGCTTTAAAATATATTTACTATAAAAGCGTAGGGGTAAAATATTTTATTATTAAAGAAGAGAATACTTCTCCTATTAATAATAAAGTTCGCTACCTACTTAATAATCTATATTGGGAGTTGTATTTTCTATAAGGTATATAGAAGCTATTTATAGTTATTTCTATTGAATATACCCTTAAAATTAAGGAGTATAAAAGATACATAGCTTTAAATTTTTAAGCCGTATAAATTATATTAGTAATTATCCGGACTATAAATTCCGTTAAATACTTTATTTAATTATTTATTTAGCCCTCCGGTAGGAGGTTAACCTCTTTAACTACTTATAAAATCTTTTAATTATAAAACCTTTAAGGATTTTTCTAACGTTATTAAGTAATAATATAAATCTTTATATACCCGCTAATTTTTATTAGGTAGCGCTTTTTCCAGGCTTTTTAAAAATAATTACTTTTATATCCTTAAACTATTGTAGGAAATATCCGAATTAGAAACTCGGAATTACTAAATATATTATTATTTATTAAAATAATTACCCGTATAATTTTAAAAGTCTATTTAAATACTAATTGACGCCCGGGGCCTTATTAAGCGTTATTTAGGAAAGGACATTTTAGACGTCCCCTTTAGTAATTAATTTACTAATAATTATTAGATTAATACTATTTACTATTTAAATCCAATTCGGTAAATATTCTATTAAAATATTTACCTTTAAAAAGAAGCGATTAAAAAAAGTTTTAGCCTTAATATTATAATCTTCGATTTTTATTACTCTTTGGCCAATTTAAAAGGTTAGTAATTTAAATAAATTAATTAAGTAATAATTTTAGGTCCGAATTTATTTCTTTAAATATTAAAATCGATTTAGGTTCTTTAAAACTTTAACAACGCTCTTATACTATATAGCCTACTATACTTTTAAAACAATCTTCTTCTTTTTTATTATTATTTTACGAACTCTCTCTAATTTAATAATATTTAGCATTCAAATTATATTTAATACTTCTATTGTATTTCCTTTATAATTATTTTATATTCTAATATTTATTAATTTACTCTCCTCCTCCAACTTTTCTTCCAGTTTAGGACGAACTCTTTTATAATATTAGTAAATTCTCTATTGAACTTATAAAAACCTTATTTGAAATCTTCTACTATATTAATCCTTTCGGGGATTAAAATCCATTTCTCCGCCGCCTCCTTTACTTTTACTATATTTATAGGATTTTAACTATAACCTCCTTCCTCTTCTACCCTCCTATTTTCTTCTTTTTACTTAAATTTAAACTTCCTAAGAATAATAATTTAAACCAGTTTATTCGTATTACTATACTCCCTATTATTCGGCCTTAACCCCGGGTAATAATTATATATAATTAATTATCTTATTTCTCTTTCTTCGTATTATACTACTAAGTTTTATTATTTTACTATAGGGGGTAAATAAATTAAACCTCCAATATCATACCTATATAAGGAAATATATAGCCCCTAAACTAATCCTATTCTTGCAATTCTAATTAGGATAGTAGAAGTTAAAGTCCTTAATAATAATTATTTAGTTTCTTACTAGGGGCCTAACGTCGAAGAATTTTAAGAGCGGGGATCCCTACTAATATTCTAATATTCTTTATATTAAAATAGGTAAATAAATAGAATAAATAATCGCAGGATCCCTTAAATTTTTAAGTATTATTATAGTCCAATTCCTTCCGGCCTAAAAATTAAAGTCCTTTAAGTTCTATTTCTTATTTACATATATTACCGCCCTTCTTTTCTCTAAATAATTAACTCCGAAATACTTCCCGGTCCTAAAATAATAAATATCCTTATTTAAATCTCTACCCGGCTCCTAAATTGCTATAATATTATAAGTCTCCTCTTATTCTAATAGAAACTTCTCTTTCTTATATAATTTTTCTATATTGTAATAGAATATTTTTAATTAAACTATTAATTACCTTAAAATAGTGTTTTTATAAATCCTTTAATAGAGGATAAAAATATTACTTCCTTTAAGGGAATTATAATTATATAAATACTATTACTACTATATTTCCAATTCCCTACGCTCTAAGAGTATAAATAATATACGTTTATTAGGTTTTATTAAATTAAGGGTTTTAATCGGAGGGTCGGGCCGACGATTTTTCTCGGCCGCCCTCTTTTTTTCTACGCTTCCTCCAATTTATCTCTCTAAGGTAGTAATAATATAGGAATTAGGAGGGGCGTCCAACAAATTACCCTCGTTTATAGTCTCTATTACCGGCTCTAATACCTTTCCGGCCGGGCTTTTATAAGGGGGGGTAAATATCTATAGCTTTTTAGTATATATAATAAACACTTTTAAAATAACCTTTTAGAAAAGGGAATACTCCTTATAATTATAAGCGAAGTATCCTTTCTTCCTATATGATTTATAATAGACGAATAATTTATCCTTATTTAATGAATGATTTACTTCGCTAAAGTAATTTCTTTTTTATTTAACTTCGCCGTATTAGGCGTAAATGTTTTGCTAACCATAGAATTTTATTATATATATAATCCCCTAATATTTAAAATACTATTAAATATTATTTAAAGCTTAGAATAATTCGTAAGGGTATATACCGTCGTCCTGGAAGAAGAGGTTATTTTAAAGGAAGTTCGCTACCTTCAAAATAATAACTTCTATTAAGAGTAAATTTCTATTCTCTCCGTCCCTTTTCTTCTAAAACTAAACTCTTATAATAACTACCTCCTTATTTTTATCCCTTATTATATTTATTAATACCTCTAACGTAGTATAATTATTAATACTATTCTAGGGTACGCCCCGGACTAATATACTTACAATATTTATAGTAGCGAAGGCCTCCTTATTTAAGACTTTTATAACCTATACCTAATTTTACTAATACTAATTGTACGTAGATTTATCGAAGATAATTATATAGTTTCTAAACGTTAGTATTCTAATAGCTATTCTAATTATTAAACTTAATTTCTTCCAGCCTAGGGTTATTACTATAATTATTTTTATACCTTTATTCGAATAGTTTATAAATTCGGCGGTAATAACTATTCCTTTAATAGTAAATTATTATTCGAAATAAAAGGGAATTAACCTTTTAATAATAATAGTAAATAATTATTAGAAGATAATATTAATTTTATTCGAGATAATTTTCGTTATAATATCGGTCTATCGTTTCGGTACTTCTTAAGTACCTTTCTTAATCTTTTTAAAATATCCTTCTTTAAATTATTAAAATCCTTTTTAATAATAATAATAATATTCTTTTACCCTTACTATATAACTATAGCGCCTTATTAGTATAGGGTCCTTTTCTAGTTCTCTAGAGGGGAAAACTATATAACGTTAAGCACTACCGGATAAAAACCCCTAGCTTTATTTCAGCCGTAACTTACTTATACCGTTCCTATTTTACTTACTATTATAATAGTTTTTACTTACTATTATAGCGAATTAATTTTGTCTCTTTTTTTATTATATTTTCCTAATATTAAAATAATAAGAATAATAGGGATATAATTAAGGATATCGCCTTCCTTCGCCGCTTTTCTATTTTGACTTTTATTACCTCTTCCTCTACTTTCCTTCTACTTTTCTATTCTATTTTCCTATTTACATTTTTACCCTTCCGCTTCATTATTCCTATTTATATTTATTTCCGCCCCGTCCCTTTATTTCCTAACCTTTAATTCTACCCCTATTTTTAATAGTATAAGGGCCTTTCCCTCTATTTATATAATCCTCCCTATAGCGTCCCTTCTTAATTCCTTCCTACTTTTTTTCTTCCTTATAATAATATTATTTAAAATAGTTTCTTCTAATTATAACTATCCTAATCCAATTAATTTTACCTCCGACTTTAAAGTCTCCTCCCCAAAAGTATTTTTAAACTTTATAGTTTTTCTTAATTTTATAGCCCCGGTTTATTTAGAGCCTGCAATATTTTTTTATATTTTTCATAGTAATTTAGATTTTTAAATTCCTTATAACTAATATATTTATCCTTTCTATTATTTTTAATCTTTATACTAATTCGTATAGTACTATCTATAAAATCCCCTACTTCTATTATATTTTAAATTTCGCTATAATTCCGAAATCCGACGAAAAATTTATTAGTCCCAACGCTTTTTGTAAAATTATTATTAGTAAAACCTACTTCGTTTTAACTTCCTATAAATTTTATATTCTTTTCTTTTTCGCTCTTTTTTTTTAATTAACGTTTTATTCCTAATTATTAACTTCTAAACTATGATTTATATTTATATTACTAGTAAATATATATTAAATATTTCTGTCGGTCTCTATAACGTCCGTAATATTATTTAGTTTGTAACTATTATTACAATTTTAAATAGCCCGGTTGGATATTGTTAAAAATTAAATACCTTCGTTCGCGCTATTTAATAGTTTATTAAGCATATATACAGTCGTTTGGTACAAAATAGTCTCCTGAATAATATTACTAGCCTTCCCCGCGCTCCGCATTACGATGCTACTATCTTCTAGCGGAAGGGATACTATGCGTTTTTAATAATAAATTAGTCGGTTTTAGTCTTATTAACCTCGGGTCGTATAAACCTACTTTTTCTAATATAACGCTACGTAAATTCGAAAAGCAATTTTCGAGCCTAACGTCGGTCCTTAATTAAAATAATATTATAATCTATAGATTTATTCGCTTTAATAATAAATTTCTTTAATATTTTATTATCTTCCTCCCTTTTATCCGAAGTTTTTGCAATAAATACAATTTTAAGGTTATTATATATAGAAATTTCTACGAGCGGGTTGTAGACGCTATTTTCAAACCTACGAATACCGCTATCTATAGCCATCGGTAACGACAATATAATACCGTCGCTATATTCATCGTAGGATATCGTAAGGGACGTAAACGACCCTTCTAAATCGATTACTATTATTAGTTTTCGTTTTAGAGCACTCCTCGACTAGAAGTCGGCGTTTCCGGTTTCAGCGTCGTTTTTTAATCTGATAGTAGAAAGCTATAAAAAATCGATTATTCTACAAAATATTATTATTTACTTATTAAACCCTAACCGCCGAATATAGTTTAAAGAAATTAAAGACTATATAAAGAGGGTCCTATTTACTAAATGCCGAACAATTTAAGGGCGGACGTATTTTTATAACACCGTCTTCATCGACCCTACCAATATAGAACTTTACTTTTTACTCTTCCGCTACGTCTACAATTTACCGTCGGCCGGATATCTAAGCCGCGAGAAGACCTATTCGTTACTATTATAATTTTTCTTTTAACTAGGGATATATACTACCGTTAAATTATATTATAAAACGTACCTAGCGTACACTAAACCTAAACTATTATAATACGCTCCCTATAGTTTCTTAAAACCGTTGGTAATACCTTTTGTACTATAGAATGATACTTCTAATTAATTATAGTACCTTACTAACCCCGTACTTATATTGTAAATAAGAATTTAAGTATATTATAGTTATTATTAATTGCTTTACTAAAATAAAGTACTATATCCCTACCGTCGGCGTAATAGTATAAAAATTAGTAGAATATTTTATTAAAAAGGTTTATAGTATTTACAATCTACTAAACTCTATTTTCTCCAACCGTAATACTTAATAAATATTATAATTTTAGAAAGCTTTATCGTTATAATTAGAAGTTACCCTAAAGCCCTCCTCCGCTTTCTACCCCACTACTAACAATTAAACTAAATATATTAATACAAAAAAAAAAAATATCTATATCTTTATATTAATTAGGCTTAAGACGATTGGGTAAATTAACTACCAATGGCAAAATTTACTAACAATAATATAATATTTAAAATAACTAGTATCTCCCCCTTCTTTATTAATTATAATTTCTACCTCTATATAAATATCGAACTAATAAAACTATACCTACTAAAAATATCGGTAATATAATAAATAGAATACTTTAAAGTTAATAAATTGGCCGATTAGTTTAGGAAAGTCTTAAACTTTATTATCAATTAAACTTATTAAATATAATAATATTATAAAAATAATACGAACGTTCGACAATCGGATACCCTAAGATATAAAGTAGGAGATAAAGTCCTTCTTAAGACCGAGAATCTTAATACCGGCCGGCCCTACGCTAAATTTATACCCCTTTTCAAAGGACCTTTTAAAATTCTTAAAATAAATAGTTATCAAATAATATTTAAACTTTTAATTTATATAAAGTACAACCTAACGTTTTATATTAGTAAAATTAAATTATAAAACGAGAAGGGTTTCCTAGGACAAATAGCTTTGGAGGAATAGGACGTTCGTACTAACTATAGCCGGACTATAAAGAGGACCAATAATAGGGAGGACTCCATCGAATATAAATTTGAGAGAATTAATAAATACCAGAAGAACGATAAAGGTTGTTAGGAATACCTTATAGTTTAGGCACCTCCACACACGCCGTTATAGTAACTGCGCGCTAATATATCTATAGCCCCCAATATAGTATAAACCTTCTACAATAGCCACTCTAATATACTATATCCCCTGGATTAGGTAGCAACGGAAAGGAAGCGAAAATAGTTATTAGAAATAAAAGAAGAATATAAAGGGGAGGATTAGGAGGCGGAATAAGGAGTTCCGGCCTTACGACGGAAATTACTACAATAAATAATAGTAGCGGTTATAGAGGCTTTTTGAATTGAAATTACTCGTTTAATAGGGATTTTTATTATTTTATATAATATTAATTAGCTATATAGCTTCTTTTAGTCTAAAGAAGTATTATAGGGCTAGCTTATATACTTTATATCTAGTACTAGCGTATAACAGCTTCTAAAACTACTATCGCTATTATCGCTACCGGCCATTGCTAGCAGCTGATTGCTCAGAGCGCTGCCTGCCGCGGGTCTATAGTAGACCCGCTAGTGGTTGTCCTTATAATGCCAGTCTTCCAGGCACTCGGCTATACTTCTCTTCCTTTTTCCTTCGTGCAATTACGTATATTCACATCTACCATCTACCCTTTACCCGTAATAAGCTGATAGCGACCCGTATATAGGTTCCATTGTCGCTTATACAACTAGGGTATTTATATAGGTTCGTACGCTTATATTTAGTTCTTTTCCTTTTCTTCTCCTTACTTAAAATCCTCTATTATAGATAGTATCTTAGCCTTGCCTTCGATTTCGCCATCCCGTACCCTTATAGTACTGAGTACAAGCGCTGAACTAAACCGTACGCGGGGTGAACGGTAGGTAGACGGGCGGGCGGCAGTAGATAGATCTATACTACGTAGATAAATACACGTACTATATATTGTTCGTAACTTTTATTCTATAATATATAGGTATTTATAAGTAAGATTTATCTACTTTAACCTAGACTAATTAGAATTTAAGATTCCTTTATCCAAATATAACTAATTATATTAAATTAATCTACTATAACTATCTACTTAGTATATAAAGCTAAAGACAATTTATAGACTATCAGATTATTTAATATTATTAAATCTAGAACTTATAGTTTAGAAACGGTAAGTGGATAGTAAGTTGTAAGGGGGGAACCGTAGGTAAGTAGGTTTAGGTACTAAGAAGGGAATATTGGATTGAGAAAGATATAAAAAAAAAATATAATATATTTTTTAATTTAATGGAGAACTTCTTTATATTTAAAAAAGAATAAAGAAAACCTACCTTTCTATTAATATGCGGATAGAGTTTTCCAACGTGCAGATAGAATTTCTCTTAAAAAAGAGAAAAAAGTAGGGGCCACCCGGGGATTGAACCCGGGACCTCTCGCAACGATGCTCAGGATTGAACCCTAAGCGAGAATCATACCACTAGACCAGCGGCCCTCTGATTTGTGGAATCTTGTACAGAGACTCGGTATCTATATATCTAGCTGCATGGAGATACAGTCACAATAACTGTTCTCTGATGTTTCAACCACATCATGTGGCTGTGTAGAAGTATATACACCCAGGATCATAGGTTTTCAATTGTGAGGCCATAGAACTAATCTCAGGCAGGAAGTCACCATCAGTTGCATTGTTGCAGACCGGAGGAGTGCACGTGCTCAGACACTCGGGGTCCACTGGGAGCAACTCGGCAACAGGCGTGCGTGCCTGCCAAGCAGGCCAAGATGAGATGGACGGGGACCCCTGCTGTGTCGTCGGTACCTGCTTTGCATAACACGCCACCAGCAAGCTACCGGAAGTCAAGGATCCGGGATCTGCTGATTCGAGCTACCCCTTTCCCCATTATATATATTCTTTTATTCGTGTGTAGCCGCACGTTCTATTGTTGACATTCCGCTGCATGCATCGCACGGGTTTGGAAAGATGGACGCAGCTTTGGAGATTCTCGATCCTCTTGTGCTGGACAGACTATACGCATACCTGTTGCCAGCCGACGATAGCGCGCTGGGCAATGGCTTCGACAACAGCACGTCTGCATTTTCAAAATCGCCATTGCAAACTTCTTGCGAGTCGGCATGGCCACGGGACAACATTCTTCGACAATGCGCTTCCATCCTGTTGATCACCCAGGTCGGTGCTACGCTCCTATACTGGGTGTTTAGCGCCTTCTCGTACTACTTCATTTTTGACCGCCGTCTCGAGTACCACCCGCGCTTCCTCCAGAACCAGGTACGCCAAGAGATCATCTCATCCATGACCGCCGTCCCTTGGATCAACATCATGACCCTGCCATTCTTCCTGGCGGAGGTGCGCGGAAAGAGCTTGCTCTACACTCGCGTGGACGAGTATGGCTGGGCATGGATGGCCATCTCAACAGTGCTCTTCATGATCTGGAATGACCTCATGATTTACTGGATTCATCGGCTTGAGCACCACCCCAGTGTCTACAAGTACATTCACAAGCCACACCACAAGTGGATTGGTAGGCGCACACCCCATGGACGGGATCCCAGCGTTTTCCAGCTAACACGACATAGTGCCGACTCCGTGGGCAGCTCTGGCTTTTCACCCACTCGATGGATATGTTCAGTCCCTCCCTTATCAGTGAGTTTCTTGTGTCCTCTGGGCTCCATTGTGGGCGACCTTTTAACGTGTTGATAGTGTGTTTGTCTTTATTTGCCCGGTGCAAAAGTACTTGTACATGGTTCTTTTCGTTCTGGTGCAGGTGTGGACAATTCTCATCCATGATGGTGACATGATCTCGGGCCACTGGCTTGAAAAGTATATCAACAGCCCGGCCCACCACACACTGCATCACATGTATTTTACCGTCAATTACGGGCAGTATTTTACATGGGCCGACAACTACTTCCAGTCGCATCGGGCGCCTCGTCCTGATTTGGATCCGCTTCATGATGCACTCAAGGTTATGAGAGAGAAGGGGCTGGTAGACGAAAAGGGAAATCCAATTCCCCAGAAGAACAAGAAGGACGAGTAGATATAGTGTGACGGCTGACGGACGCTGAGGATCATCAGTAATGGATGAGGTTGTACATGCGATTGCTGTGTTAAAGCGTTGAGAGGCGAGAGGACTCACGTACCATTTCCTAGAAAACGCCTGCCGCCCTTACATAAAGCATACAACTGCTACCTCTACTAGTGGAGCTAGCTAACTATAATGTTTAAATACTATTACACGAAAGTACGGTACTTTCCTTACCTCTATCTATTAGCCACCCACCTGATGTCTCATCTGCTGTGCTTTATCATTGATCAGATACTGGAGACCTTGCCCTAACCCTAACCCATAAAGCTGCAGGCGGCGCCTGCTTGCAACTCTGAACACCAGCACCTGCACAGTACGGTCCGTAGGTATACAGGGCACCGACTGACACTCCGTCATCCATTTAACTGATCAGCACTGTTGTATACAAGCATTCAGATGCATCCTTGATGGGGCTGATATAACTTAACACGCGCAGCTCCCTGCACGTCTCCGGCCATGCCACGACAACTGCCCTGGAAAGTTCTACCAAGTCAAAAAAAGACTGCTGCTGCTCCCGCCTCAGAACCCAGCGCATCATCACCTTCGGCTCGCGCCGCGCAATCATCAAGCAAAGCGAAGCTGAAGCTGAGCACAAGCGCAGATGGGCTCAATATTGTACCTGGCAATACAGCACGAGGCTCAGACACTAGCCGTCGTCCACATCTGCCCCGGTTCCCATCGACATCGCCGCCACCTGAGCCTCCGAGAGAGGAGTTTATGATTGAAGGCCTTCGCTGCGATGATAGGTATCGCATGGTGGAGGACGAGTTTCTCTCCGTGGCCGCCGAGTTCACTCGCCATTTGCACGCCGCCGAGTACCAGCGGCTGAGGAACCTTGCGAGTTCCAGGAATGCTGAGACCATTGATGATATCTCACGTTCTGTCACGGGCGCACCAACGATTGCTGTAAAACGAAGGCATGCCAGACTTGAAACGGCTGCCAGACAACAGAGAGGTTTAACCAAGGTCTTAGGGAAACGGGTTGATCACAACTCGGACTCCGAAGACAAGCCCTGGACAGGCACCTCGCTGCAGGGCCTAATGGATAGCCCAAGGAAGAAGAAGGTCCCATTACACCGCTCATTGAGTTCCCTGAGCGCTTCAGCTGGGTTCCGAGCCGCAACCCGTTCGAATCCGTCACTGAACCTGGCTGTGCATATGCAAGGGAGACTAGGCAACCGAAAGCCACCAAGTGAAGACAAGGGCGACGACAGCGAGGATGATGACTCGGCTTTGGATGGGCACACATCGTGGTCCCCAAAGCTCCATAGGGCTCGAGTTACCGAAATGCCGTCAGTCTCAATGCTCTCTGCCCGGAATACCACCGAAAGTAGACCATTTCAGACATCGGCGCATGCTTCGCGCGCCTCCAGTGATCAAGGCACGCGGTTAGACAGGACTTCGTATCCCATTACTCCTTCTCATAAACAGACCAACAGGCTCAACAAGAAGTATACTTCTAGCGACCAGGATGAAGAGGAAGACGACGTTGATTTGTTCTCCCGAGTTCGTTCCCGCAGGGCAGCCCAGCGACGAAGACCCGGCTCTCCGGTTATCAAAATCGAGGTCAAGACGGAGAACAGCCAAAGTGCCACCTCATTGCACGAGATACCGTTTCTCTAAAAACACCAGTGGATGTGATGACTGCGTTTCCCAGTATCAGCCACATTATTCCCCGGGTTGAAGCATGATCAAAAGATTTCCAAGTCTTACCGGCCAAAGTATTCGCCAAACTTTAGAGCTTCCTCGACGGGCAGAATTGGCGAAATCTTGACCATGGAAGGCGACAGCTTTGCGCTCCGCCACGAACCGAGCAAGCTCGTCCATGCCGGCGCTGGCCAAGGCGCTGAGCTGACTTCCTCTTTACCTTAGTACCAAGAGTGGGGGTGAGGTGAGTTACGGTGGTGCCCTTTGGGAGAAGGTTCTTGTACGAGGTGTCGGCATTCTTGCCGTGCTCGCAGTGCTCGAAAGGCTCCAATGGGGGGGCTTTTACCCTGGCTTCCAGGTAGAGGGGTAATGGGAATACTGCAGAGGACGATCAAGTCGGTATTGGCTCCATGGAACAGCAAAATATGTCCACCCTTTCCATTTGCAGGGCTTGATAAGTTGCACCTTAGCGGCCTGGAAGCTTCTTTTGTCAGACCACTCAGCTTCTTTGTTGAAGGCAACAAGGGGGAGTTCTTCATAGACGCCTCTGTGATGCACAAACTTGAGTTTCACGGGGTTCACCCTGGTATAGTCTGCAGTGAGCAGTTCCCTCCTACCAGTCAGGACGGGTGCCTGTTTCCTTCTCTAAAAAAGTGCATGGCATTGAACACACCTCCTCGAGCTGTTGATCGAAACGAAATGGGTTCATCGTCCACGGGTTTGATAGGAGATGCCCATGATGAAGGCTATGGATGATATTGCGTGAGCAAGTTATGTTCAATTCAAGATTGTTGCCCAATATGAGTGATGCAAATAGGGCTCGGGATTATGGCCTATTGCTTTCAATTCTACGCGAACCGGTGCCGATCCGATACCTTGTCGGAGGATATGAACGGCTGTTAAGTGGTATAAGGGTGTAAGAGGGGCTGTTGTCTAGGCCTCCAGAAGTCAACCGAGGAAGTGTATTCACAGACCGTTTAGCCGTCTTACCAAGCCGGCAAGGTATGCGTTGTCAATCAGAGCGTCTGGGGAGCAAATGTCGCGTGCTATAGGCGTGCGCATCATTGAGCATTGTTATAAACAGGTGATGTGAGACGCGGAGTGAATATATGATTGCGTATAGTGGTGATTGGAGTAGGGAGCCCATCATGGCCTCTAACGGTAGTCAATACGTGAGAATAGGCAAAGATGCATTTATCAAGAGTCGAGAATGCCCGCGAAGCTGAAATCGGGTAATTAGTTGTCGACGAGAAAGATCGGGGAACAATGACCTCTTGAACGGAGTAAAGGTTATGTGGGACAGCTGGCACCATGTATCATTCATGGACCTATACCATATTACGGAGGATATTGTTGGAAGCAAATGCCAAATTCATCATGAGATCCCCCTAAATCTTCTGCAATTTGTTACTGAGAGTCATAAAATGATCTTAAAGCCAGCTGCTATCAGGCATACCATGCATGCCTTGTGTCTTAAGATTGCCTGGTAGCATCCCTCCGACTGAGCTCAAGTTGGGCTTTGCGAAAGGCTTGGTCCTGGCCCCGGGAAAGGGGCGGAGAGGGGGGATATAACGGGAAATGATGAATGACCCAACGTCCCTTCGCTTCCAGCGCTTCTACTGTTGCGGACTAATTCAACCTTCCATCATGTTGGATCCGTGATTCATAAGGCAGGAGCGTGTTTCGACACTCGATTGGTTTTCTGGCGTTTATCTCGTCATCTCTAAATTTACGTCAACCTTGCTCACTGTCCCGTCACCTAGCACTGTACCGAGTGCGGTCTGGCACATCAGAAAAGTGTATGCCGATAGAAAACAGGGAAACTTGAAGGTTTGGTCGAAAAGTCTGACTTGCTTTCTACTCGAGGTGTGTGAACTTATACTCAAAACAACGGGAAAAAGAACTGGTAGCTTAAAAGTTCAAGTCGCCGATCTTGACACTCGTCCACCATAAAAAGACCGCTTGTATTACGCCCAAGATTTCCGCCTATATCCACTTCACATCTGCCTTCCTCTTGGAATAATGGAATCCCTTGGGTCCCTTGGTAAGGTTACCCCACACGCCGCTGATCAGTCGAGCCGTTAACCAGGCAACTCATTGATGTACTGAAGATGTTTTCCACCGTACGGTTTGTGTGCATGTCCCACAGCATAGCCCTGACCTTCCGAAGCCTCGGATATCAACGGGGATGGCTGGAACGAGGCAGGACTTGTGGTGGCTGGAGAGAAGGCCGAGGGTGATACCGTCTGTCCGTGTAACTCTGAACGCAAAGACCATGGACGGTCAGTCTGGGGGTCGAGTTCACTGATAATCGGGGACGCATGTAGATCTTCCGAGTTCCCATTTGGCGAGATTGGCGACTTGGACTCCTTTCCTAGCATATCATCGGCCGTGTTCACAGACCCGTCGGCACCAGACGGGCTGTGTTCATCCTCTGCTCTTCGTCGGCGGACTACAAAGAAGATGGCAAGGCCCACCAGTGCCAAAATAACCGAAGCAACGCTAACTATGCCCACAATGGCACCGGTACTGAGGTTCGAGGAGTCATCGGTCGAGGAAGCTGTTGTGGGTCTAGGTGGAACAGCAGATGGAGTAGACGTGGAAGAACCCGTACCAGCCGTGAAGGTTGCCTGGGAGCTTGCTGAATCTAGAGAGGAGGTGATTGTCTGGACTAAGGTGGTCCTGGGCTTGTGGTATACCAAGGATGGGTCGGATACGAGCCAGTTAAGGCTGCTCTCGTCCAGATGTGAAGGAAGTTTGACGACATTGGGGATGATGCTGGCAGTGAAGGTTTGGAAGGCAGCGGAGACGTCGGTGTTGGGACAAACTTTGTCCTTGTCACATTTGGCTGGGGGTTTCGTGATGTAATCCGGATAGTCGTTGTTCTGGATGCACGGCATCCACTTGAAGTCATCGTCACAGTAGATAAGGCCGGACCAGACAGTGGCATCATAAAACTTTTGAGGGCAAATGGGATCTTCATAATCTTTGTCTGTGCAACCAGCGACGTAGGTGGTGACGAAGTCTGCATCGAAACATGCACCTTCCTCGAGGCACATGTCGCCGAGCTGGCAGCACCCGACGTGGCCAAGAGCCGCATTGCCACAGGCGACATAGTGGTTTGGAAGGGCGATGGTCTTCGAAGAAGTCTTCCTGTAACAGGTGCCGTTGCTGATGTTCGGGTCAAAGCCGTCGATGGGGCCGCCGAGGTTGCGAGGAAGAAGGCGAAGGCTGACCATTGCAATCCAGGCAGTTGCCCCTGGGTACTCTGTGATGCAGTGGTAAGCAGGGCCGGCAGAACGAGGGGGACTGCTGTGAAAGATAGCAGGAGCACAAATGAAAAATGAAGTCGGAGATCCGGGTAAGGTCGAGGAGAGTGGCGAGGATTGATGGGCTCGTCAATCTGGGCCGACAGCAATTTGAGTTCGATTAAGTTCTGTCAAGCGTTGCAATTTCACGCCACCATACTCTAGAGATCCAGTATTGCAGTGGAAAGCGAAAGAACGTGCGAGGAAGGAAACAAGGGAAGTGAGGGAGGTGGACAAGAGGACACATTGGGCAGGCGAAGCCTGGAAGAAGAGGCGGCCAGCCTGGACTGAAGGGGGCCTCCTTCCCTGAGCGCCTGAATGTGCTTGCTTGATTGAAAGTTTGATGGAGGGTGATCATGCAGATTGCCGTCTGTTCCATCATGTTGTCCAAACCTCCACGTTTCCACCTTGACGTCCCTTGTCTGTTCGCCTCGCCCGCTCGCCGCCCCCCGCGGACCTCGCCGCCAGTCAATCTTCAAGCACCTTTGGTCCCATGCGACAGTGCACACTGCCAGCTCATGGCCTGCGTACAGTACGACCGTCTGGAATACCACTCACACTGCTGCGCTTCGGGCCTGTTGACTGAACATACCTATGTTGAGGTCGATGCGGGTTTCCGTTCTAGAGAGGAAAGAGCCGCAAGAAACGAACGATGGTGGTGAACGGGCGGCCTTTATCCTTTGCCATCCGTCATCCCCGGGTTGCCGACTGGTACCCGTGCCCGACCAGTTGCCGAGACAGCAGCAATTTTCACACCAAACCTTACTCGGCAGCCTAAGGTCGTGTGCACAAACCCATATGGGATAAAAAGAAGGGATGAAAACGATGAGTAAAAACTGCCATTAGAAGTCTGTCTCGCCAGTGTTTTCCACCGCCTTGGGGACGCACTCAGCTGGTCTCTGCGGCTTATTCACTGTTCAACCAATTTGGCTGCCACAAGTGCTCCATCCTGACAGACCTCTTCGTCTCGGTCTTCGCATCGCTTCTGATAAGCACAAATGCCCATCATCAGGTTATCCACCCCGCCGCCATTCTTCACTTGTTGTGCGTCATGCTGCTGAGTCTTTATGACAGATACTGGCAAGTCATGCTCCTCCAAGGGGTGCTGATGGGCGTCGCAATCGGTGCAGTAAGAGTTTGACAAGAAGCGAACAGCCGCACTGAGAGTGGTGGCTTTCGGATCCTCTGTTGGCGATATCGTCATCCCCATTGGTTTGTCCCCGCTGCTCAACAACTCCAGCTTCGGGTGGTCCGTAGGCATCACAGGCCACTTCGTGATGCCTTTCATGCTCCTCTTCCCTTGCATGGTCGTCAAGGCCCGTCTGCCCCCGAGACCCCCGGACTTCTAGATCCCGGCCGCTTGCAAGGACACCAGATGCATTCTCCTCATCGCATCTCTGTTCTTCATCTTGCTTGGTATGTTCACTTCGCTCTTCTTCATACTCACGCCGAAACACCTGCTCGCTATCCTTAGCGCCGCTTCGACAAAGCCGTGTCATCCCTGGTATCTCGGCCGACAAGTACGGACGACTCAACCTTTACGCCCTTGAGGCCATCTCCACGAGGGTCATTAGCTTCTGCACGAACTCGGCTGTAAGTGGCGCAGCGCTTAGTGTCTATTCGGTCCTGTCTGATTTCGGACCCGGCACCATCATCTGCGGGCCATCGGCCGCCTTCTCCATGAGCACCAAGAGCCAGCAAGACATAGGAACCTTTATGGAAATGGGCATGGCCATCAGCGCGCTTGGAGGCCTGATCGGTCCGCAACATCAGCCAACATGAGGGCTTCTCGAAGTGTCCATGTTTCGTGGTGCCATCTGTTTGCTAGAAGGTTTTGTTGCGCTTGCGACCAAGCTGGCCACTCCTGAAGGCATTGTGGGCAAGGTCTGAATTGTTGTCATGGGCCACGGCTGTGAGCGGACCATGGATGCACATACACTGGTGTTGGGATCTGTGACGCAGTTAGATCCTGATATAAATAGCCACCTATCGTGCTTCACTCAGTCGATTTCCTTATATCGAGAAGACAATAATCACGGCTTGCTGGTGCAAAGCTTGACATGGCAACATAGGGCGGCGTAGTGAAGTTTTATTTTTTATTCTTTTATAAGGCTGCACAAGATGTTGTTTCCGTGACGTGACTGGTCAATTGCGAGGTTGCGGTTTGGCGATCAGGAACCCGGCGAGCTTGATATCCACTGTTCCGGGAGATAACCCCACTGAAATTCACTGTAATGGCGTGGCGTGTGCTTTACACGTTACTCCACCATTCAGTAGCAGTTTGCGGTTTCCCCAGATTGAATAAATATACTATGGATTATCTTCAACTTCAAAAAAGTCTGAACCTTTGGACCCGGGAATATTTGAGTCCCGAGATAGTAGACCAAAGGAAGAAGCAACAATCGTCCCGACATCAATATCAGCATCGTTTTTCATGAGCTGCATGCAGACGGGCTGATTTTGGCCGGCATTGTTTAATTTTTGTTTTCCCAGCTTGTGTGTGTCTCACAACTGCACCAAAGCGTCTCGACGACAAACCGAATACCCAAGGGGTCCGGGCAGAGACGGAGACGAAAAGGGGACATACCGGAGGCCAAGCGACGGCTTCTGCTCATCCGAAATGGCTCGCCGAACCACAAGAGGCATAAAGAAGAGCTACGTTGAGGCACCTATTGTTTTCGATGATGAGGACGAGCCAATCCCCGTCACATCCAAGGACTCCGACGATGAGGACTTTACTGCCCCGGAGCCCGCTCAGGAGGAAGAGGATGACAAGGATGAAGAAGCCGACATGGCCGATCCTACCAGTGAAGAAGACGAGGCCGAGGACGATGAAGATGATGGCGATGCTGACGGTAAAAAGAACGATGCGTCCTCCCAGCCCAAAAAACACCGTAATACGGGCGCTGGCATGATCCAGAGCCGCAAAGGCTTCCATGACATTCCTCATTACCCCCTCGAGACACGCATTGTGACCCGTGTCTACGCAGGTCCCTTGAGGCGATATGCGCGGTATAGTGCCCTGCGCGACTCCATGTACGGGCCCGAGTACAACCGCATCAAGATCATATGGGACTTGGAGATGCGATGGGCCGAATTTCCCGCTCTGCCACCCAGGTACTTGCCTCATGAACCCCAGGGCATCTGTCCCAGTCCATGGCTCGCGCCTGCCTTCGAGCGTACACAGGAACAAAATGCTGCTCGATGGTACAATAACTACTACGCCAAGAGTCCCGAGGTACAGCAATGCCATTTGCTTTCTAGTCATGAGGGGGAGCATCTAATTCCTCAAGCCGGAGGTGATCTTGTTACCTTCATTGGGCCCTGGTATCGCCAGGGAGAGTTCCGGTTTGCCCAAGGCCAGAGTTTACCGATAACGGCTTCTGGTCTCCCAACGAGCACATCCGAAGACCAAGACAAGAGCTCAACAGGCTGGATGCTCGACATTGGAAGTATTCCGCTTGCCATGGGCTGGGTTCCATCTCTCGTCAATGCCAAGCAAGTTCTCGCCATCGCAAGCATACCCTTCGCGGATCAAGAACCTAGGCGACAAGAAGACGGTGCAGATAAGTACCAAGACCCCAGTGCTATGGCTGAAGGCTGCGTCCAGCTTTGGGAGTTCACACCAAAAGAGGCAGACAAAACGCTAGCTCGACCTTCCACCACCCCAGCGCGGCTGATCAGGACATTGTGTTTCAGCTGGGGCCGGCCAAAGCGACTGCAGTGGTGCCCCGTGCCTTTTGAGTCGGTCGGTAGTTATGGGCTACTAGCTATACTTACAGGAGATGGAAAGGCCCGGATTATTGACGTCAAGAAGGTTGAAGAAGGGAGCGCTCCCGTTTACGGTAAGTCAGACGTAGTTAGATGTTTCCTCCACCCGATATTCTGAGGACTTCCTGACTAAGAGAGTGCTTATTTAGAATGGGTACAATCGCCTGTTGTCACCCTTGGCATCGATGATGACTACAACAACAAGGTGACTTGTCTAAGCTGGGTGAATATCAACCGCATCGCCCTCGGTCACTCGGATGGGTCTGTCACACTGTGGTCCATTTTCCCCCGAAAGATGCTACAAAGAGTCGGAGTACACACCACGTATGTGATCGATATCTGCTCAGCCTACCCGTCAAATCCCTACTTGGTCGCCTCGATTCCCGTTGGCGGATGTGCAACCTTGACCGACCTGTCGCAGCCAAGCTCCGAACTCACATACTTCCCTGTTCCCGCTATCAGCTTCCAGCCGAACATGCTTTGCTGGAACGAGTCCATGCAGGGTTTCATGGCTCTCTACCCATCTTCCACGCCCAACACGACGATTGCGTTCCTACACCATCGCTTCTTTTGCCAAGCTCGTAGTATCTGCACGGGTCCGAACACTATCACTTGCATTTCTGCCGGAGCTACGCACCCGTTTGTGCTGGCCGGTTGTGCAGATGGCTCGTTATTCTCTTGCAACGCTCTGCAGAAGCTTTTCAAGCAGAAGGGGGAGCCTTTACAAAAAATCAAGGTAATGGAACACGAATACAGGCCGATTAGACGTCCTGAACTTCAGGGAAAAGACAGCAGTCGTCCCGTCAGAGGCGCGGTCCGGATCTTGCAAGGTTTCCTACCGGAGCCCAATGACGATCCCAGGACGGAGAAGCGCAAGGAGCTGGACCGGAAGAAAAAGCTAGAAAGAATGAAAACGGCGTCTGGAAAGAAAAAGGGCCGACCAAGGAAGAATGGAGGCACCGTAGAGGATCTGGATCGGGAGGCCGAGCTCGACGACAAGCTTGCATCGCGCGTGGTCACCCATGAGCCGCTGACCAGGCTAACGACGATTGTATGGAACCCGAACATGCAATACAGCTGCTGGGCGGCGTGTGCAATGGCTTCGGGTATTATCAAGGTGATGGATCTTGGAGTGCAGTAAACTAAGGATTTGTTGACTTTGCCGAGCCACGGAGGGAGTAATGCCCAATATACAAAAGCGGGAAATGACTATCTCACGATCCAAAGCGAAGCATGATTACTATACGACAATCCACCGGACGGCGAAATAGGGTAAGCACATGGACTGAATAATACGTGTCAAGCCCAAAGTTAACCCTGATACTTAACAGCGCCAAGTGTACCAATGTAACAAGTCGCTTCTTGTTACATTGGTCAATTGACCTCATTTGCCCTGAGCAGCATCAGTTTCGAAAAAAAATGATTGAGTCAATCACGTTATCCATCCATCCATCCATCCATCCATCTATTTATCTATCTATCTATCTATCTATCTCCACACACTCTACCTTCTAGTATGCAGTCAACATGCCATAGTACTTGTATCGGGTCTCAGCAGGTGCCTCCCAAGACGGCATGATGGTGGTCGAAAGCCTTGGCCATACCATGTAAATGAGTGGCTGCCGCCAGGACGACAAAGACATGGAAGATCTGATGGGAGCTGCCCCAAATGTCAAAACGACCGGGATACCGACATTCAGGCCATCGAACCTGGTGTTTGCTCTAGTCAGAACCCGGCAGTGAGGATAAAAAGATATAAGAGTTGAGGACTTACAGCATACAGGAGGGCGCCGAAGATATACATGGCTCCTTGAAGCATGACCCATCTGAGTCCCATGAGCTCATCTAGTTGGGTGAAGGAGGTGAAGGTCAAGGCGTGCAGGATGGGGACGACTCCGGATGCGCCGAGACCGATGAACATCATGGCACGGTAAGGACGCCAGGCGGGAGTGCGGAAGTGTTCAAACCAGGAGATGGTGATGCACCCAAGACCCAAGAGACAGATCTGTAAGCATTGGATGTTTTGTCAACACCAGTTTGACAAGTGTGTCATTTTCTTTTCAACTTACCATGCTCAGGTAAAAAGTCAACAAGGCAGGATAGCAAAAGAAGCCATAGTACATGGTTGGCACATAGCTCCCGACAATGAGAAAGACGATTCCAGTGTAATCCAGCTTGTTTCCCCACTTGGCCACCTCGGGGCTATGGTTGGACAGGGTATGGTACGTAGCGCTCATACCCAGGCAGCAGAAAGCGCCCAAAAAGAAACAGGTGAAGACGAGGACGTCCGACTCGGAGGCGGACTCATATCTCGGGGCAACGGCATTGTAGAGAAAGAAGCCGCCAAAGGTGAACGAGATGGCGCCTAGGAGATGAGTCCAGATGTTGACAAACTCATTGTGCAGGTAGAAGATGGACCAGAAGGATTGCTGAAAGCTGTTGGAGGTGCGGCGGTAGCCCGAGTGGATGAAGTGGTTATCGCGGCGCCAGTGGGGGAGTTCATCCCACAGCACCAGCAGGGCGTCCTCGATCCGGTGTTCGACATCCTTGGCGCTTTCCAAAAGGGAGTCGGCGGCGGAGGAAAAGACTCTGGAGGCGGAAGCGATCGAGGCGGTCGAGGGCCGGCGACGTTCCCGGAGTGAGACGCCAGGCTGCGGAGGGTCGGAGTCCGCGTCTCCGGCCGGCATAGTGTCTTTATATATATATATATATATATATTTTATTCCCCTTAGAGAGTTTGCGGTTTCGCGGTGTTCGTTTGGTGTTGGTGTTGTGGCTTGTTTAGAGACAGTGGTTGTCAAGTATCAAGATGTAGATGAGAATCAATTTACTAGCACAGCTATACTTGTAGACAACATTGTATGCACATGTCAAAGGCAAATTCCAGCTTTCTGTTGAGCTCATGGTGGCTTTGGTGGGCTGTCATGTTTTCATGATCCTCGACTGTTCCCACAATCAGAGATCCGGACGGATTTCCACTTCAAAGCCCATGTGTCCCCACCGGCCCTCCGAACCGCGGTGTTACTCCAGAGGAAGCTTGCAGTAGCCACTACAAGAAACGAGGTAGGTACACTCGGCGACATACATCACTTTCCAAAGGAAGCAATGGCGTTACAAGCTTCGTGTATTGAAAAAGCTGCTACCAAACTAGGTATGTAGCGAGTGGTATTGTACCAATACGAATCACTTGCTTTGAAGGAAGAAGCGCTTGTTGGGAAGAGGTAGCGTTGTTTTGTGTCCGTCGTAATGCTTTTGATGCCGTCATTTTGTGTTGGCCGCTTTTCCCATCTTTTTGTTGGGTGGACACTTGCTGTGTCAGGAGTTGAGGCATGGCTCTCCGGAGCTGACAGCTGATTGCCGCCTGGTGATCGCCTGGCACGATGGTGCTTGGGCGCTTTAGTGTGGAGGAAGGAACGCACATCGGGTAAATACGACTTCACTGCAAACCATGACACTCTCCGACGGAGTGAAAGAGAACGGAAGGATCGATTCAATGGAAGCGATTGATATCTGCCCTCCTGCCTAAAATGTCCTCCATAGCATGGATGCAGCTTTCATCATATGTCACCTTTTACGAAACCTGACCCTTTTTCCTCTCGCCAACTCATCCTCATCGATGGTTCAGGTCCTGTCCCACCACCAACCACACTGGCTTCACTTCGCAGTCCCTCTACCAAAGACAGACACAAACCGCCCATTCAGCTCCAAGCGGACAGCGCTCCGTCGCCGCTCCCTACCTACTCATCTAGCTACCCCCTGTTCGACTGCTTCTCAAAAGAATGGACCAGGTGTGCGATTGGCCTCATGCTTGTCAATGCAAGTGCATAAATCCATTCACTAACGATACATGTCACATTTCTTGCCTCTTCGCCCAAACTTCTGCAGTCAGCTCAAGTGCCGACGGGAGCATGATATTCCCAAGGTCAAAGAGAGGCACGAAAAAACTAACGGAGACACGAGGTGAGAACCTAAACCAACCCACCATTGTATTCCTGACGGACTCCCATGTGCTGTGCCGCACAAACAGCTTCTTCCCCCCCCGGGAAGAAAAAAAAAAAAAAAAAAAAGCCAAGGCTCCCAGATGACATCCGAAGGGGAATGACAATCACCGACTCCGGTCATGGCCCGTCCAGACTCTCTCGGGTTACCTGGATAAGGTCGAGAAGACAACCCACACGGAGTAACCTCTTCGCTATTCTTGGAAACCAACCTTGTGTGTTTCTCAGTCTCGACCCTTTTTCAATATACGCCTTCGTTATCACAATGGCCTGGTTGGTCTGCGTCTGTCCATCCCCCATTGAGGTGGTGATTTTATGTTCGACAAGGACAAGTATCCGAGCAAAGTTCAAAGGCACCTTCATGTTCGGTTCAGAGATGCCATGCGCCCACAAACACCCAACACGCTTCACCACCTCGGCATCATCAATCTCTTACACAGCAAAAGCGCCCCGAATGTGACGCAGTTTCCATCTCCCAACTCCTGCGACAAATGTTACGGGTCGCCGGGAGTGTGCGCTGCGATATCTACCACCATTCATACATGAACCACGGATGGGAAGCAGCACGTCGCCCACGCCAAGTCGGGTCAAGGTGGGTGAAAACACTATGTCAGTCCGAAAATAGCCCGTCCCTTTGCCCTCATCTACATCTGCGTCTAAATCCCGACCAGAGCATATTTCGGTTGGCTACGGCCTTAAGTCGCCACTCAACCCAAAATTGCATGCGAACGTCGACTTCACGTTCTCAATGTAAGGGTCTGCATGTCCAGCTACGAGTCCGGGCCACGGGTCAAGAGAGCTTGGGACCTCGGGTCCTTGGGTGATGATGCCGGCCGGTCGGGTAAATCAAGCGGTTCATATCACCACCAGGCCTTCAACACCTGGGATATCATTTATCCCATATTACCTCGATATTGTCGCCACCAAACTTCTATCACCATGTCGCCATATCGCAACATCACCCACGTCGTATGCTGTTCCGCCCGCAGTATCGGACGGATCTAATCCAAAATATCGATATCGAAATGCTATTAATATTACTTGGCTTCAAGCGGAGGTTAATGAAGGCAGCAAGCGTACTTGGCATGCATCGAACGATGAGCAACCGACAATGCCATGTCTATATCAACAAGGCCAAGATCCGTACAGTACTTCGATCACGCTTAGAGTTGCTCTCTACAGACATGGACTTTGCCCAGATTTGATGAATACCAACAACAACAACTAGCACCGGCAGTCCTCCCATTCCTCCGCCATCATGGTCGGATCAAGCCTCATTCTGTCACTGCTCGGCTTTGGTGTCGTCCGTGCCTTGCCAGCTTCCAAGAAGGTAGAGGAGCGTCAGACCTTCGTAGGAGGTGGCTGGAGCGATTTTCCCGGTGACGGCAAAGCCCCTCTAACCTGCTCCATCAACATCCCCATCTCTCAACAAGCCCCCTGCATCTTCTTCCCCATTCCGGGTATCATCAGACCCGGCAAAGAAAAACGACAAGTTTTGGGACCTGGCTACAGCGACTTTCATCCCGGTGATGGTGACGAGATCCCTATCTGCGAGATTTCTCTTCCCATCAGCGAACAACCCCCGTGTATGTTCTTCCCAATTCCGGGAGAGATTACGCCAGGAAAGCGATCATTCAGCCTCCCGGCGGAGTATGCCACCAATGCCAAGCAATTGATCCTTCAGCTTGAGAACCAGCTGGTGGCTCTCCAAAACAAGAACAACAAGACGTCTGAGGACATCGCTGATATTCGCGCCATCAATACTGCCCTTAAGTACCTGGCGAATATCGATCAGATCTCCGCACCGCCTGGATCTGAGACTGGCTTCACTCCCGGCAAGCGGTCATTCTTCCTGCCTGGCGATTACGCGACCGACACTAAGAAAGTTATCCTACAACTCGAGAAGCAGTTGATTTCCCTCCAGAACAAAAAGAACAAGACTGATGAAGATTTGGCCGATATCCAAGCCATCAAGTCTGCACTCAAATATCTATCCGGTATTGACCAGATCTCTGCACCCCCGGGAACTGAGACTGGTTTCGTCCCCGGAAAGCGTGATGCGCCCTCTGTTGGCGCTTACGCTTCAGTCTGCCCGGGGCTGGAAGGTGCCGAGATTGCTCTCGAGACTCTTTTGCACAAACCCAAGCCAACAGTGCAGGAGTACATCATTATCCAGAAGTTGACCAGCTTCCTTGCCGGATGTGGCATCGCCATCGTCAAATCTCCCGATGGCACATGGACCGTCATCAAGCCCTCCGACAAGAAGCGAGGTGTGGATACCGAAGCCGTTGCCACTCCTCAGCCTGCCGCAGACTTTGACCTTGCCGGATTGGAAAAGTCATATCACCTGCTCCTCGGGTCTAGCCAAGGCGGTCAACCCTCTTTCATCACCTGGCTTGTCCTCCGACAGATGGCTGATCTGCTCGAACTGTACGGTGCTCCTGTTGATGGCGCCGTCTCCTCTGGTTTCGCCACCTCCAAGCGCCAGATCACCATCGGTACAGGCAGCTGCCAGCTCCTGGGCATTCTCGGTCTCAAGGCTGCACTCGCCGCTCTGACAACCGCCTATGGGGGCCCCGCCAAGGCGCCGACCAACATCTTCCACATTGAGCAGATCCTCGTTACGGCCATCCAGCTTTGTGGTCAAGGTGCTCCTGGCTGGACTACACTCGCCCCCGGTAACCCCATCCTCGGCGGTCCGCTTGTTCCCGACCCAACTGTTCCTGGGGAACCCATCAAGCCCGATCCGTATGTTCCTGGCGGGCTCATTGGGCCAGGCCGCTAACAAGCGGGCGCGCGTGATGATCCTACGACTTTGCTGGATGCGTTGCAGGCTCTCGAGACGCATTAAGAAAACTACGAGTTTGTAACTATCCCTGTGCCGCTATTCTTGATCATGTTCAGCTTGGTGACCATCCTCCAGGAGCTGTATGTTGTGATTGTAAAGAGATGGCCTGTCTTGGGACAAGGACCTGTTGTTTTGACCCCTTCCACTTGGGAGCAGTATGTCATTAATGAAAGGGATGGAGTTCGATAAGGGGTTATTGCAGAAGAGGCGTACAACGTTGGTGCCCGTGGGAAAAGAGGTTGCCGGTGAATCGGACGCAGTGGGCAATGGCGAAGCGCCAACAATCGGAGCGGCTCACAACAGCAGCTCATGGAAAGGACGGTGTGCCTGTCGGTGTTTACCGCTGATAACCTGGGTGTAGATGGAGAAGAAGACCTTGGCCATCCCTTCTCGATGTTTCAAGGCCGGAATCTACAACTATTTGTTCCATCCTTTCTTTTCTCAAGTCCAGAAGTTTTACATGATCCTCCTTCTTTTTTTCTTTTTCTTTTTTTTCTTTCTTTTCTTCTTGTTCTTGAGAGTATCATCAAAGGTTTGATTGATCTCTTACGTCCTGACCCACATCGCTGCGCCTCGAGAGCACGTGCCTCAACCCCCGTAGACTGTCAAGATCGATCCCATTCCAAGATATCAATCTAGTCCACGACGGTAAGTCTCCGGACCAGAGATGGTCTCCAGCTAATTCCGCGTATACCTCGATTCAGCCCCCCCGTCATATGAACATTGAAATTTGCGCCAAGTGCCTCATCAATCCAGGAGCATTTGATGTTCATCTCTACCCGTCGGATAAGTCAAAGGTTATGTGTCCCAGCAATTCACTCCACTGTCGCCATAAAAAGTCGCAACACGCGCGCTTATAGCCCATGATATATGATCTGACGGCGGTAGTATCCGAGAATTTGAGGTCAAATTTCATACATGATAATCAACTCTGCGTTCATGCATGAAGCCATGCGATCACAGATGTACACACTCTCGTAGAAACGGAATGCTACAATTTGAGGTGCGGAAGGTCAAGCCAGCGCTGTCGTCCGATGGACAGCATTGCCGCAATTCACCAGCCAACCTTACCCAGCAGCTGTTCATGACTGGGCAAAATAATTCTCTATGTACCGGTAGGCCACATCAGATTGCTCAAAGCGCCCTCCTTCGGACGTTCAGAGCATTTTGGCTAATGTATGAAGTGCAATTCCAGTTACGACGATATCCACCAGGAGAGTTTGACCGTCTACATTCGCTCCTGAGCCTTCGAGGAAGACATCGAATGGTTGACCCTCAACATTGAGTCAAGAAACCCAGCAACCTATCTGCTACCTACTCCTACACCACCACACGGTCAATGCACATACACGGCTGCTTATCCTACTCAGAGATAATCGGAATCGCCAACATTCGTTCAGGTTCACTGTCCGCTTATAGCTACGGCTACCGCCTTTGCTAAGCTGGGTATCGGTACCTTTCAGGTGAACTCAAACCCCGAAGCGCTTACTATAGTAACAATGGTAGCGCATAGGATAGAATGTGAATCAGTCATCCGATGGTGTGACTGCTATGTCCCCTTCCCAGACACGGACCCCCAAAGATGTCTCTTGGCCCTGTAAGGCTCGAGTCAGATGTGATATCAGCTTAATTATCATAGGAAACACTGAACCCGTAATGACGCAGTGTGCATTTTTCCATGCCGAAGATATGCGGCAGGAATTGATGGCCTCTATTGATATGGCTAAGCTATCATGTTACGTATCCCAAAGCATCTAACCTGACTTGTGTTTCATCAGAACAAGTGACGTATAATTCAAGCTACGGATACGGGTACGGACACTCGTATGAAAGACGGCATACAGACACGGTTTCCTAGCGCTGGTAGGTTGATGACTACCGCCATGAATACCTCTAGGTATCTGTGCCTTCACAGAATCAAAACTTAAACTGTCGTGATCATCAACTGCAACTCATTTCTCGCCGAGGGAGCAATACTTGCCGTATGCGAACAAAGAGGAGGTTTGGCTTCGGCAGTGACCGTCTATTAATGTCTCACTTAGCCGACCGATTGAAGGAGTTCTGTCCTGCCCACTGCACATATATGACTTATAACATCAGGTATTGCGCTTAAAGTCGCTTGTGCCGGACGGGCGCGGTTGACTTGCCGGGCTGGATGAAAACCTGACTTTTGGTAATCATCGTGTCCCCGTATCGTTTCCGTGCCTTTCGGTGCGCCACCTCGGTCATATTTTCCTGCTTCTCTTTGTTCTTAATTGCAGTGGTAACTGCCGAAATTTGACTGTTGGAGTGGCTGATTGACAAGACCCAAGTCGAACAAGAGTGGCTCTACCCGTGTGCCCTTCGTCCTTCTTTGTCTTTTTTCGCTTGTTCCGAAAGCCACCACCAATGGCTCGGACTCTGCCATTGAGGCGAAAGAGCCTCGTTCATCGCGTCACGCGTGTTAGCCAAGTAAGTCTAAGACAGAACATGATCAGCAGAACCGAGGATCATACAATAGAGTTAAGAGACTACTCATCTCGAGTCCGAGACTACTTAGATTATCGAGCGAGTACAAGACTGTCCACCAACTATACTTCAAACGCGTACTACCTCCGAGCCTCGAGACACACCACCATTCCATCTTTAGTCTTTAAACAAAGACATGAAAGGGGAGCCCAAAGCCATGATTGAGCCACTTCGATCGAGTTTCAACTGTGTTCACTTTCCCGTCTCACGGCTCGGTGGCTTCAGCCTCACTCTACCGTCATCTAGGACGGCCAAAGCTCGAAAATGTTATTGTTTATGCCTTGCCTTTGCCCTGCTTTAACATCTTGGTAGCTCCGTATGTGGGATGTGCAAGTTCACTCACAGGAATGGCTGCCATTCTCAACCAATATGTCACTGGTTCCGTACAATTCCTTTCCGGAGCCACCTAACATCTCTTTGAACTTGGTATCCAACCGAGATCGACAATAATGCGCAGAGTATCGCATAGTAGTGTAGTCTAAGTCGGCTGCAGGTGCCGTCTGCTAAGACACGGCGCGGCTGAAGGTGGGCCTTCCTGCACCCTTTCTCCCGGAGCCTCCGAGACAACGGTAAGCTGCAAGCCTATGCTTGTTTTGTTTCATGGACGGGTACCACGGCCTTGCCTGGCTATATGGTTTTCACTATTGTCTAGGAATTCAGTGAACCCTACATGGAAGCCGAGCATGTCGCTCCATATGGCGTAGGGGAATCATGTCATTGGTGGACGTAAAGAATAACAGACACGCGAACACACAATATCTGACCACTGAAACATCATCATATGGTTACTCCATGAAGGTAGACAAACTGAGTGTGCACGTTGCTAACAATCGGTGTAGATACTTAGAGAGTAGGATCACCTCAAACCAATCAGCATCATGTGCTGCAATCAGTACATGTGTCTTACTATCAACTAAACCACCACAAAACAGCTGAAGTTTCAAAACCAGACCTTAGTGTACGCCTAGTCTAGCTGCTATGCCTCGCTGTCATGCCTCGGTGGGAGGGCTGATATTGCTTGTGCATTGTTGTGCTGCTGACAGGCGGCACAGTCCACACAAAGAGCCTGTGTGCATAGCGCCAGTGCATGTGCTTCCTTATGCCGTGACTACACCTCTTAGCCAGAAGCAAACGGTGAGGAGATGGAGGAAGAGGCCGAGAAACGGACAACCCGGCACACCCAACTCAACGGCAGCCAGGCCCTTCCGTCCCTTCCCCGCTGTCCATCTAAACTGCACACGACCGGAAACGGTTGAGACTGACTGAAGACCGCCCTCATAAGCCGGGAGCCGAGATAAGAATTCCCCAGGGGAATGGGGGTGGGGGGGGGGGGGGGGGGGGGGGA